GCAGGGTCATGCCCTTCTATTTTAGGTTGTGCTAAAAGGGCGCACCGAAATATTCAAACTGTTTTACTACAAAGCTAACATATATAACCACAGCCCTAGTTTCTGCTCATGTGTAACTTCTGACCCTTTCTCAAAAAACCAAGTACTATGATTACTAGGCGTTGCTTTTTAAAAATAAAGCTTGCATTGTTTTCTTCCTCTCATTTGCATTTTCATCATAGAACAGTTCACAAATCCATGTGTTTTTTTCTGCCACCATTCAGGAGATTTTGCTATCAGTTATGTGCAATCAATCGCATAAAGCATGAAGAGAGAAGGGCTGCTATTCATATGTTGCCTGCTAATCTAATTACTAAGGTGGGGGCTCCAGAAATAGAGCTGCCACATAGAAAAGCTTTGCCCCCACCTGGTGGATTGTTTAGCCAAGCCTTTTAAATGTGCAAAGTTTAAAAAACGGGGGGGCAGGAGGAGGCAAGGGTAAAGAAAGAAATCTTTTTTTTTTTTTTTTTTTTTTTTAAGTTTCTATGCGGAGCAATGGAAAGAATTTAGTGGTTGTCAACATGAGTTTAGTACAAAGGTATGGTTTAAAACGTAGGTTCATTTTGACTGAGCTTCAGGTCACGCAAGTCCAGGGAAACCTGTGCTGCTATTTGTTTTGTGTGTGTTTTTAAAAGAGTTCATAAGACGTTAAGGGAGGGAGATGAAGCGGAGGAGGCGTCCCAGAGGGATGACGTCTATTAAAGGGTGGATACTTCAGGGGTGTTATTTCCAGAGGCTCTTAGTGACTGATTGTGTGAAAGCGTAGCTCTGAATGAGCAGCTCCAGCCTGGCTTGATTTTGAACTGGTTTTAATCCTTGATTCCTACAAACAAAATAAAATACCTTGTCGAATAGAGCCCATTGAGTGCGGATGATGGGTTAGGAGTGGGGGTACGAGATGGCAGCGTGGATGCTTGTTTATCGAGGAGGAGTTGTCCGTTGTTCCTGGAGCTGGTGAAAGGAAAGACGCCAGAATCTGATGGCTGGGGTAGCATTGATGTGAGGTAACGGGGTAATCGGATTGAAAGGGAGCCATAGTATTTATGTCAGTTCACATTTCGTCAAAGAAATAATATGAGGTGCTACCTAGCAGAGGCATTGGCCTGGGGGTTCAGTTAGCAAGCATCCAGGCCTCGTTGGATTCAAATATAAATTAATTCTCACAGGAGCATTGCCTGATTAATCTATTTGCATAATAGTAGAAAAACTGCAGAGTGGTTACTTTTTTTTTTTTCTTCTGCAGGGATTTGGACAAGAAAAGGTTTAAATTCATTTGAAAGAAGAGTGTGTGAGAAGTCAGAGAAGCAAAAGCCCCCTCTGGGGCTCCCAGAGTTGTTTTCTGGACCAAGAAAAGTTGGAGTTGAGGGAAGCCCTGTTGGCTCAAGAAGTTTAACTCTTCCTAGGAAAAAATCACCTTTTACTGAAGCACCATGAGTCTTAGCTCTTGGCTGAGATGGTGGCATCTGGTTCAGCAGAGGCTAGGACATCAGCCCAGAGTGAAATATCCCCATTGGTTTAGGTTCTGGTCAAAGGACATCATAGTGTCAAAAATATATAGGTTCAGTTCTGATATACTCAGGTTTGCTGGGTGTTTCTGAAAAGAATTTCAAGTCTATTTGCTATTTCATTGAGAAATAAGTAATTGGGCTTATATAACTCAGGCCATTCATGACTGATTTTGACTCAGTGCATTCATTCAGTGAGAACCTGTTGAGCACAGCCTGGTGCTGCTGGTATGTATGGTGGATATGACAATGAAATCTAAGTCTTACTTTTAAAAACCATATTATGAAAACAGGATGGATGGAAGAGGACTAAGGGTTCATAAGTTTCAGACTTTTGATACCAAAGTGATTTTTTTCTGTAAAAATTTTAATAACAGAATTTAAAAATACAGCTATAAACATTACTTAGCAAATCCAGCCTTGATTACTTCCAGCCTTTGCTCAAGAATAAAGACCTTTCTTTTCATAGTACTATAGGCACTGGCTTCAGTGTTTCTTACTCATTCTTATTACTTTTATTCCCTTATCATTCACTGTTGTGATAAAGAAAGCACCAAAGCCGTTTAGATGCAACTGCCATGTTGACTCAAAATGCTTCTATTTTCACCAGTTCCAGATGGAGAAACATTAGAAACAACAGCAAGGCAAATCCTATTTTCTAACTGATCACATGGCTAATTCCAAATTTTATTTTGAAAACTTCCTGCTATAGAAGAAATGCCTATGGTAGGTGCTTGACAAATGTTCATTTCATTTTCCCTTCTTGAATACACCCAGAATGACAATTAGAAAATGTCCTTGTTGCTTAGGAAAATCAAGGAATAAGAGCCTAATACCAGCAGAGAAGAAAGAGTCTATCTTATGCACTTCCACTGCTTTAGGAGTGCCACCTAGCTGAGGACCCCCTTTCTTTGAACTCCACATTTCCCCACCCCCCATTAAATGAGGGTGAGCCTTTAATAGCTTTTTTTTTAACCCTTTCAGCAGTAATGCTAATTTTGTGTAAAATTAGCCCTCATTTAATGTAAGTCCTGTTCTCTAATTAGTTGGTCATGTTATACTCAATACTTCTTTTATATATACTCTGAAAGAGAGTCACCAACTTTTATGCAAAAGATTATACTACCTACTGAGAGAAAGAAGCTAATTCACTCTCATTCCCTCTAATGCCTTATTACCTATCAGGGAAACAAGACAAATATTTTCCCATATTCATACCCATGTAGTCCCAATGGCTGAGCATTAGTGGGAAGCCATTATGTCTGGGGGCCATAATGATTGTGGTTATCAGATTGGGAAATAGATCAGATTAGGAGAAGTCATTAGGGCCAAATGAGTGCCTCACGTATCAAGCAGCAGAATGGAAAGAATGGTGAGTGGCCCATCCTTGCTGCTGCTCAGGCTCGGGGCATGGAAGCTGGAGCACCCTGCTTCCATGTTTTGCTCTGTGTGGGCCTCAGGGCAGCTGTGATGCTGCACTCCATCATGGGTAACTGAACAAAGTGGATGAGTTCTGATGACAGCAAGGAGTCTCAGGGAAGGAAATGAGACTCATTTCACATGGCCCTAAGCAAGTAGAAGTGGAACCACTAGAGGAACACTGATTTGCCTGAATACAAATATGACTATTTTAATGACTCATTTGCCAGTTTATTTAGTCTCTATATAGAAGAGTGATCTTTGAAAACATAAATTACATCAAGACATGGCCCTGCTTGAAACCCATCAGAGACTTCCTCCCTGTAGCCTGCAGTGCCCAGCCTCATCTGTCCCCTTCCCACCTGGTTAGCTTCTTACCCCATCCCCTCCCTGTTCACTAAGCTCCAACTGCCTTGGTCTTTGGACCCTTGAATGAGCAGAGCTATTCTCTGCTTCAGAGTTCATGTAAAGGTTTTTCTCAGTCCTGGCTGGTTCCTACCCATCCCTGACATACAGCTTTAAGATAGATTTTTGCAGACTTTCCTCTCCAAATACATCTGCAATTCTGATCACTCTTCACCACTTTCACTGCTATCTGCTGGTCCTTGCCCCTATTAATACAATGGTCTCTCTGCTTCTAGTCTTGTGCTCAACATAGAAGCCAGAGGTACCCTTTGAAAATGCAAGTTAGATCTTGTCATATCTCTGCCCAAAACCCTCCAATGCAGCTCATCTCAGAATAAAAGCCAAAGTCCTCACAAAAGCCCATAGGTTCTCCATGACCTTGCCCTGCCTCCCTTATTTCAGACCTCATCTCCTATTGGTCTTCTCCCTCTCTCTCTGCTCCAGACACACTGATCTCCTTGTGGCTCTTTGAACTTGGTGGGTGGACTCTCATCTTAGGGCCTTTGCCTGATTATTCCTTCTGTCTGGAATGCTCGCTTTCCAGATATTTACATGGTTCACCCCTCACATTCCTCAGGTCTATGCTCCAATCTTAACATATTAATGAAGCCCTCTCTGAACAGCTTATTTAAAATGGAATCCTCCCAACTCCAGTAATCCTTAAGGTAGAGGCTGGAAGAGAGCTCGACCCATTCAGGGGCTTGTGATAATTCTGGTGTGGCTGCAACACGGGGCTGAGAGTGTGGGAAGCAGATGGTCATTTTGGATAAATTGGCTGCTATCAGATTGTTGGACATGTTCAAAGTTAAATCAAATCCTTTGGACTTTAGCCTACAGGAAACAAAGAACTATTGAAAGTCCCGATGAAGCCATTGTTTCAGGCAAGTTAATCAGCTGGTGGGGAATAAACCGGACGAACGGGATGTCTCCTGATAAAGACCAGAGCTAAGTCCAGAGTCCTTGTGAAAGCGTATTCAGAGATTTCTACACCACTACAATTTATTTAATTCACTACATGCCAGTTGTGCATCTATTCCCTAAAAGATACTCAGGGGCAGGTAAAAAAAACAAGACAGCAAGGCCTCTGCCTTTCCAGAGATTACAGTACTGCGATTCTGAGAAATGAGGAGTCCTCACTTGATGACTGAGTTTATCATCTCAGGAACACAGTCTCTGGGATTCTGAGCTTTCCCTTTTGCTGGGTGCCACCATTATATGGTCACCTTCCCTGCACATACATCCTCCCTATACCCACAAAGTGTGCTCCTCAGACATCTTACAGATGAAGAAAACCTTCGATGACTGTTGTTCTAAAGTTGTTTTTGTTTTTTTGTTGTTGTTGTTTTGTTTTTTACTATTTATTATTCATATAGGTGAACTTGAGTCTGTAGGGCCAGCCCTTCAGGGACTGATTATTTCCTCCCAGGCACACAATTTTCTCTGATTTGCATCCAGTCTCCAGGTAATGCTAGTGCCTGGAAATAGGGTTTGCAGTGGGAAGAAAGTGAGGGATTGAAAAACAACACAAGGCCAAGGCTAAGGTGGTAATTCTAGCTGTTCCCTTAATTGACTGTGACCTTGGAGTCACTTAATCTTTGTCTCTGATTTTTTTTTTTTTTTTTTTTTTTTTGGCAGTTTCCCAACTTTATTAGCCCGGAGTTCCTCCCTGCCAGCCCCAGGGGCTGGTCGCTGGTTCCTGGGCACAGTGAGCAGGGCTGAGGTCAGACAGGTTCAGGCCCTGGCCATGGCAGCTTGGGACAGCCAGGCCAAAGGGACAACACGTGCAAAAGTCCCGATGCTGGCACTTCAGGTGTGGCCGGCACTCAGCCAGGTGCAGTGGGTGGGCGGGCAGGGCGCCAAGTTCCTCTCCTGGTGACGGTCGGCCGTAGCAGCATTTCCTCCCAGCAGCCGCTAGGAACAGCTGGTGATTCTAGCCAGGAACTGCTGCGCCCACCACTCGTCCAGGTCAATGGGCACGAAGTTCTGCAGCCGGGGATTGGGGGTCCTCTCCACGTACTGCACAGGCCTCGGCCCGCCCTTACTGGCTGGGCCACCATTCAGCTGCTGCTGCACCTGCTGCCAGGCTTCGGACACAAAGCGGACATTCTCCTCGTGGGCCGGTGTGTAGGTCTCCTGGGTCCCCTCGAGGGATGGGGACGTGGAGGGAGCCCGCCGGCCATTCACACGATTGAACACAAGCCTTGGCCCCGGACTCGACAGGGGCCAGGGTCCCGGCGGCTGCGCGAAGGGCTGCGCCCACGGGGCTGCGCGGTCGGCGGCGCGGGCTGCCGGCATTTCAGGAGCTCGCCGAGCCGGCCCTCCACCTGCTGCTGCGTGGGACCTGTGCGGCGCTGGGCGACCAGCTTGCTGGGCCCCTTGGTGATGGTGTACATGGCGCGCCGCTCCCAGACCGCCGCCGGCCCCCGGCCTGATCCGGCCCCTGTGCCCGGGCTCGCACTTAACGGGCGGCGGGCGCTGCGGGCAGGGGGCGGGTGTCTCTGATTTTATTATCTATAGAGAAAATTAATATATCTACCTTTCTTAAAGGGATATTACTGGGGAGAAATTAGTGGATTTTTTAAGGATTTAAACATATATTACATATATAAATATGAGTTATCATTAGTATTGTATCACTATCACGACAGCAACTGCTAAAATAACTGATGCTCCTTGTTCTCCTATCTCTTCCTCCCTCCTCCTCCTCCCTTCTCTTTCTCTTTTTCTCTCCTCTTCCTCCCTCCTTCTCCTCCTACTACTTTCGGTATTCTTACTCATTAGGTATCCTTGTTCTTCCCTACCCGTACCCCTCCCCTGCCCCAACTAGAACTGAAGAGTGGAGAAATAAATATTGGGTCATGCCCACATCCCTGGTGACCAACATTTTTTCTCCATTGGAGAAAGGTTTATTGGCAGGTCACCTTCAGTTTATCTCCCAAACTTGTCATACTGTACACAAATCACCTCTTCTGGGATGGCAGTGGCTGAACACTACACATGAATAGGGGGTCGACTTTTCCCTCTATGGGACATTTGGCAGTGTCTGGAGATGTTTTTGGGTGTCACAAATTGGGCAAGTTGGGGGAAGTGCAGAGGATGGTATTGGTATTTAGTGGTAGAAGCCAGGGCTGCTGCCAGTCAGGGCACAAGACAGCCCCTCAAATAATCGTCTGGCTCAAAACACCAGTAGTGCCAAAGGTGAGAAACCCAAATTAACCAAGTGACTTTTTAAAAAAAAATCATTTTTCATTTGTGACTTTTTTTTCTTTTAAGTTTGTTAAAAGCAGGTTTGCCTTGTTCTTTTTAATTTTTTAAATTTTTTTGGTTGATGACTAATTTACATACATATAATAAAATGCAGAGATCTTAAGTTACATTTTGATTACTTTTAGCAGGTGCGAACATTTGTGTATCCCAGAGTTCTATCACTACATAGACCATCTCTTTCAGCCTAGAAAGTTCTCTTATGCCCCTTCCCAGTTTGTTCCCACTCCACCCCCACAGGCAGCCACTGTCTTGATTTCTTTTCACCATAGATTATTATGCTCATTGTTTTTAACTATTAAAAAATCTCATAACTGGGCATGGTAGTTGGTAGGGTTAGTTAGATTAGAGATAACTAGCCCTGGGAACCAGAAAACTAAACCATAAGAATGGGGCTTGAGATCTGAAGGAAAAGTCACATGCAAAGAGCAGAGAAGCAGCTAGCTGGTATCAGAGAGATGCTGCAGCAAGCAGCTGACCAAGATGCTGCGCAGAAGTCAGGTAAGAGTCAATGGAGTGCCCATAGCAAGGAGTGGCTCCCTGGCTGTGGAAATGAAGGCTTGGGAGCTTAGAAAGGGCTATGGAATGACTTGGGTAGAGCCAAGCTGCATGAATAGGAGCACAAGTTGAGGACTTGGCAGGGGGAGTATATTAGTTTCCCCAGGCTTCTGTAAGAAATGACCACAAGCTTGGTGGCTAGAAACTCTCACAGTTCTGGAGGCCTCAAGTCTAAACTAAAGGTGTTAGAAGGCTGTACTCCCTTTGGAGGCTCTAAGAGGAAAATACGTTCTTTGCCTCTTACAACTTTGGCGGCTGCCAACATTCTCTGGCCTCCTTGACTTGTGCCCACATCACTCCAATCTCTGCCTCTGCCTCTGTCTTCACACTGCCTTCTCCTCTTTTTTTTTTTTGTGACAGAATCTTGCTCTGTCACCCAGGCTGGAGGGCAGTGTGCAATGTGCAATCTTGGCTCACTGCAACCTTCACCTCCCTGGTTCAAGCAATTCTTGCGCCTCAGCCACCCAAATAGCTGGGATTACAGGCATGTGCCATCATGCCAAACTAATTTTTGTATTTTTAGCAGAGATGAGCTTTCACCATGTTTCACCTCTTCTGTCTGTTTTCCTTTGTATGCTTCTTTTAAGGACAGTTGCCATTGGATTTAGGGCCAACCTAGATAATCTAGGATGATCTTATCTCAAGATCCGTAACTTAATTACATCTGTAAATGCCTTTAAGTAAATAAAGTAACATAGGTTCAGCAGATTTGGTGTGGAGATCTTTTGGGAGGCCATTTGTGGGTCTGCTATAGGGAGCGAAGTCAAGAGACAAGTTTTTACTACTGGGTTGTGAGGTTAAAAGGGAGCCCTCTGCAGAGCTGGCTGATGGCCAGGCTGGGGATCCACAGGTCTCAGTTCCTTTATATTTCCTCAGTCCACAGTTGGGATTAGCCCCAGGGAATGAAGGGTGTGAACATTTATTGAGCATCTGATACAGCCAGGCATACTAAGTTCTTCCTTTAATCCTAGCAAAGACCCTGTAAGACAGCTGTTTTCCCCCTGCCTCAAATTTGTATTGTGAAAATTGTCAAACTACAGAAAAGTTTGGAAAAAAAAATATGATAAACACCTGCATACCCTTAACTTGGCCTCACTAATTGTTACCGTGTTTTCACATCTGTTCTCTGCATTTGTATGTGTATATTTGGGAAGGTGGAGACCTAACCATTTGGAAATAAGTTACAGATATCATGACAACTCAATCCTTGACTATATCAGCATCATCACCTGATATGAAAAATGAGAAGTAGTCACTCTTATTTGACAACTGAGAAAATGGAATCTTAGCAATGTTAAGTAAATTCCTCAAAGTCTAAGAACTAAAAGCACAAGGCCAATATTTGAGCATAAGGCTGTCTAACTCCCAAACTCATGCTCTTTCTACACTACCATTTTTGTTATTCATTCAACAGTTTTGGTGGGACAGGGTGAGGTGGGGGGGGGGGTCCTATGAATGGAAAATGCTTTGGTTGAATAAAGCATCCAAGGCAGAAAAACAATAGACAGGTAAACAGATAAGTTACTGAGATAATTTCAGGACTTTACAATGAAGAATGACTGTAGGAGAATGGGAATGTCAAGCATGAAGGATCAAAGAAACATAGCATATGGCCTCTGCCTTAAAGAAGATTATAACGGAACAGGATTCTTAGAAATGGGGAGTGGGACTCTTAGCAATGACGAAACCTGTCTTCCACCCTTTCTCAAGAAGCTTCAGGAAGATGTGTTTTACCAAAAGAGGGTACAAACCAAGAAATAAGACATAGGGCTTCTTTCTTGCCCTATGTCTTCTGGGAATAAAGGAAATAAAGGATCCAACCCAAGACAGAAGCAAAGGCACGGACAGCAGGACTAGAGGGTGCAAAGAGGAGCAGGAAAATGGAAAGTTTCTAAGGAAAACAGAGCTGGCAGTCACCTGTGTTAAAAAATGGCAGTCACTTGCAAAGCACAGTAAGACAGACTTTATTCAAGGGAAATAGGTGTAGGAACCACTATATTCAAGTGATTTATTCACTTTATTCACAATAGGTATAGAAACCACCAAGACAGAATTTGCAGTGGGAAAGAAAGATTGCACTCAACTCAGAATACAGCATGGGCAAATGGGAACTTCCAGCCAAAAAAGCAGGGTGTGGTCAGTGGATGAAAAGTTACTGACAGGAAACATCAGGGGTTGATATAGTTTGAATATATGTCCCTGTCAAATCTCATGTTAAATTGTAATCCCCAGTATTTGGAGTTGTGGTCTGGCAGGAGGTATTTAGATCAGCAGGCAGATTCCTCGTGAATGACTTAGCACCACCCCCTTGATGATGAGTGAGTTCTTGCAAGATCTGGTTGATTAAAAGTATGTGGCATCTCACACTCACTCTCTCTTGCTCCTGCTTTTGCAATATGATGTGCCTCCTTCCACTTAGCCTTTTGCCACTAGTAAAAGCTCCCTTAGCCCTCCCCAAAAGCTGAGCAGATGCCAAAGCATGCTTCTTGTACAGTCTGCAGAACCAAGAGCCAATTTAACCTGTTTTCTTTGTAAATTACCCAGTCTCAGGCATTTCTTTATAGCAGTGTAAGAATGGCCTAACACAGGGGTAAGGGCAGATTCTGACTAAACAAACCTAGTAAGTTTCTTCCTAAAGGTAGACCAGGGTGGTCGGGTGTCAAAAGTGGAGGGTTCTGTTTAAACCAATTAATCAGGATTCTTTCTGAAATTGAACAACGCAGAGAGAAATATGTGAAGTTCAGGGGAACTTAAGTAGAGTTTGGCCAAAGAGATAATCTTTGTCACCTGATGCGTTTGACCATGTGGAAAAGAGAACATTACGAAGTGTTTAACAGGCACAGTGGCTCACACCTGTAATCCCAGTATTTTGGGAAGCCAAAGCTGTGAATCACTTAAATTCAGGAGTTCAAGACCAGCCTGGCCAACATGGTGAGACCCGCCCCCCCCCATCTTTACTAAAAATACAAAAAATTAGCTGGGTATGGTAATGCACACCTGTAATCCCAGCTACTTGGGAGGCTGAGGTAGGAGAATTGCTTGAACCCAGGAGGTGAAGTCTGCAGTAAGCCAAGATCACACCACTGCACTTCAGCCTGGGCAACAGAGCAAGACTCCATCTCAAAAAAAAAAAAAGGAAAATTACACAATAAAGGAAATGTAACCATAGTATAATACCAAAACATCAATAACCAATATCTGCATAGTTATAGTAAACACATGATGCTGATTTCACCTAAAATCGTGACCTATTGGGAGAATGGGTTCTCCTGTTTCCTTTGCAAGTCTCCTGTTTCCTTTGCCATTGTTTCCAGTGCTTGAATCCATTTGAATGCCAAATTGGCATTCTTCAAAATTAAAGATTTTTGGCTTCACCCAAGTTAGGATGTCAAGTGAGAGGAACAAACATTACTAAGACAGTTATAGGGTTGCGTTCTTTTTTTTAAAGGAAGTTAAGAAGGGCATACAAATAGTAAACATTCATTATTATTTAGAGTATATCAAGTTTTAGATTTGCGTATCTAACTGAGCCATCCTAATATAACCTGAGTCCTCTAAAAATTTTCTCATTTTCATAGAAATCTTTACAAATTTAGAAACTTTAGTACTCAGATTAGGTTCATTTAATAAAATTGGGGCCAGGTGCGGTGGCTCACACCTGTAATC